AACTGTTACATTATTACATTATTATTACAAAATGTAATACATGTACAAAATATGTGTGTCTGACGATCATCATTAAAGAGCAGTGTTGACATCCACTCTGTCACTGTGTGTTTTTTAAACGTCATGCTCCACGAGAGCTGCCTGCACGGCAACTTTGGCATTCTGGTCGTTGTCATGTGCCTCAGAGGGAAGTTTGTCATATATACGACGATACAAAAACCGGTTGACCAGAGTGATGATGAACATCTCTATGATCATCATTTGCTGACTGATCACTGCAGGACAGAGAGAGAAAAAGAGATGGATTATTTCACTGCACACGTCAGCAGTGCATGCAGAAAGACATTCAGAGGTGTTTCTTACTGGATCCACGAGCTTGAGAAGAGAAGGGCGGGGAACAGGCGATGGTTCCATCCAAGGCCAGGATGTTAATGATAGATGTCTGCAGCTGACTCAGTACAAGTACTAGCTACGGAGAAAGGCAATGCCTGATCAGGTATACATACAGTTAAAGGTGCACTGTGTAACATCTCAAAAAATCTGTAGTGCTTTGTAGTGCTTATGTTTCTCTAAACTATAATTCCCATAAACCCTGTCACATTATTTCTTGCTTTGCTGTATAAGAAGAACATGTTGGCAGAGATTTCTCCACCATACTTTTACTCCTTTATTTGCTGTGGTAGGAAACTTACAAAAATTGTAAAAAACAAATGTACAAAATGTCATAAAAGGAAGATATACTTAATTGTGTAGTAAAAACATCAGCATTTTTTATCATTTAGAGACATAAATCAAGCCGTAAAACAATTTGACACAATTTGTGACTAAATTTACAGTGAAACAACTTACTGATTTAAAAATGCTACACAGAATAGCAAATGCTGCTATTTTTCATGTCAAAGCGTACGAAGAGGTTTTCCCATGCTGACTCACTTGATACATGGCATACTTGGGTACAATCTTGATACTGCGCAGAAAGCTGTTAGTGTTCATGAAGATAATAGCAACAGGCCAAAGGGAGATGATTGTGAGAATGCCAATGAATGGGTTAATCCAAATGGCTGTACCAGTGATCTCAAGCTGAAAGAGAAGCAAAGAAATATCTTAATAATTTCCTGTCATGTTCATTTAATTTTAAGCACAGTCAGATATGTATAGTGAAGCCTTTCAAATACTTACATCAGAGAGATCAAAGTTGCCATTTGTCCACAACACTATGGCAAGGACAGAGAGAACTGTCTTTAGGATTGCATACTGAAGAGCGCCCAACTTCAGCCAGAATAACAATCGTCTGAATGATCCCATCCAAAGAAAGAGCCACATTAGAAATGTACACCACCATAAGACAATGTGCAGTCAATACAGAAGGAGTATAAAGAATATAGGATTAAATGACCCCAAAAATCTGATCTGAATCAAAATTTATGAGCATTAAAGAACACAGGCTTGAGTTTTTAGAGCCAGACCATTAGTATCCAGACTGTATATAGAAGAGGTTTGTACCGTGACATGGGCACGCGGGGTAAACAGACACAGCAGCAGCAGCAGGGTCCAGTGTTGATCCTAAAGGTTTCACCAGAAAACCGCTTCAGAAAATCACTGCTGCCCCCAAACTCCTCGATTATCAGAACCAAGACCTTATACACCACGACTGCAAAATAACTACACATAGAAAGAGAAGTCATTTAGGCCTGATAGAGAGCAGGTACATATTATTCTCAAAAATCACTTTAGAGTACTCAACTTTATTTATACAGAATGTGATGTTATATTACAAATGTAGTATCTCATTTATTCATTTATTACAGGAAAAACACACACTCTGACACGTGAGGACAAACCAAAAACCACTAACAAGGATATAGGATTTTGACCCAGCTGTTAAACAAACTGTACTGTACACAGAAAGCGCATAAAAGTTATCACTGCAGGTGGCAAAATCCCATAAAGATTCCTTGCATTTTATTGGAGTTGAAGGCATGTTGTGTATGGCATGACCTTTGTGTATGTAATGATTCATGACAAGTGGTTTGACTATACAGTAATCAACAAGTAAGCTTTTAAGCTGTCATGGCTTTTATTACGTTTACTCTGTAGTCATTTTGTAACTTACGCTTGTAATGATTTATCCAACCAAAACTAAACGTATGTAGGGTTCTTTTCAGCAAGTTGCATTTTGTTCAGCCTTATTTACAGTGACAGCCTGGCTGTTTCAAAGGCAGAACGTCTGCTGAGCTAATTACTAATTAGATACGCTGGAAATAAATAAAGTTATACGGAGGGACCTATAATAAAGGAAGATATAGATTTTTATTATAACCTGGAAGCTGATATGTCAAACATGATATCAGTAGTGGTGAGTTTACTGTAAACTGAGACATAGCTACCGGTCACAGCTATTAGATAACAGGCTAACATTGTGATGGTAGTTGTTACTGTCTGTCTGCTGCACTTGTAGGATAAAGAACAACTACATTATCAGACTGACATGTATCGACTTTACTTTTAACATTATGAATAACGTTCTTTGTAATGTGTTTTATGATGACAATGTTGGTCTGACAATAAAGTTCAGAGTAGTTGAGTGAAAACGCACCAGTTAGATGTCATGTCTGTGATCATGACTGCCCTCGGGATCCACATCCCAAAACAAGACATGGTGGCAATGACCTGAAAGAAAGAAATACAATACAGTGCATAAAAAACTTAATAATGGTTTGTTTTTTATGTTGTTTTCTCTGCTTCAATCAGATTTTATGTTGTATTTCAGAGCCTTTTACCAGAGTTGCTGAGTTGTTTATTACATAAATAAAGTGATTGATAATGATTATATTTCTATTGGTTTTAGAATCAGCAGCATATTATAACATAAAATTAGGCCTGAATGCTTACAGGTGCTGCACCATTTATCCAAATGATGGTCGTCTTCTTGGGGTAGGGCAGCTTTTTATAAATAAAGATGCACTGCTCCAGGTACAGCAGCAGGGAGATGCAGGACATGAAGGTGAGCATGGAGTACAGGCAAAAATCTAACACATCTAGCTCTGATATAAAAAAGTAAGAGGGAGAGAGAGAGAAGTTAGGATTATTACATACTACAATACATATACAGTAAAAAAACATATATATAAATTAGACACTTATGTAAAAGAAATCTCAAACAACAGCACACAACAGATTCTGCTTTGGATACAGTGTGTAGGATTTAGTGGCATCTAGTGGTAAATTTGCAGAACTAACTGAACACTGTGCGCGTCTGAATTTGACAACGAGAACGGGCTGTAAAGTAGTAGGAGAAACTACAGTGGCCACAAAACTCCCTAAACACCCAAAAGGCCCTATCTACAGCCAATGTTTTCTTTGTCCATTCTGGGCTACTGTAGAAACATGGCAGTTCAACTTGGCGGTCTTTACGGACAGCAACACGTGGTGTATGTAAAAATGGCTCATTCTAAAGGTAGCAAAACCACAGCAATTCTTATTTTCAGGTGATTATACATTAAATGAAACATAGCTATATTATATTCAATTTCTGTCAATAGATCCTCCTAAATGTCACACAATGGACCTTTAAAATAGGTGAGGAATGCAGCTTTTTTTACAGTTAATTCTAATGAGAGGCAATGTGAGTATTTCAACAAAGTAAAAGTATTTTGTTACACCTACTGTAGCACAAACACATTTGACTCTTACTGTACATCTATGACTGTGTACTATTAAGTTCATGTATATTATTTATTTTTACTTGGTACAACATTGTTATATTTAGGAACAGAGGCAAATAAATTATCAAAGAAGAAACCAGTATCATCTGGTACATTCAAGACACACATTAAGAGACCTGACATTTACGAATGAACTGTTAATGTCATTAGCTCAGACCGGTTGATAAGAAAACATTATCAGTGAGCAGGATGTGGTAATGTGGGTCACTTACGCTTGATAACGTCGATAGCCAGCGGGGGCTCTTGTAAACAAGCTGGATCAATGGTAGCGTTGAGGGATTCCTCCATGGCGTATAGATATTCCCCTTGAGAAATTCAATGCACTGAAGCTGGTCTAGACAATTTAAATTGAATTCAGCTTTCTCTTCCAGCTGCAATGACTGTAAAAAAGTACCTGTTCAGCGGGCTGTCATTGTAAAATGAATCTGTTGTGCACTTTACCCTTGTGGTGACATTTAAGGAGTGAATGTGGGATGAGCTCAGTTCAGAGCTCACACGTTTATGAGAGCACTTTAATATGTAACTGTGGCTCATTCATTCACAGGCTTAAGTCACAATAATTTCAATAACACCAAGGTCAGAGTTTTAGTTGAAAGGGTGCGACCCAATGAGTGTGTCAGGTAAGATGAACTTTGATAAGGTGCGTTGTTTCCTTCCCAGTAAATATAAAAGGGTATAAAAAGATAAAGGAATTTCCTTCAAGTTTAAGCTATGAGAAACATAATTCAGTTTCAGTGCTTCTAGCTCACATACAGTACTTATAATAATAATAATAATAATAATAATAATAATAATAATCATAATCATAATCATAATAATAACTTTATTTATATGGCACTTTTTAAAAACTGAGTTTACAAAGTGCCTTGACAGACAAAGCAAAATAATGGCCATGATACATAAAATACAATTAAATATAAAATAATGAATTTTAAAATATAATAATAAGAGCAGAATATGGACCATCAAATAAAATGTAAATAAATAACTAAACATATAAATAAAACAGAATAAAGTACAAAAAAGTCAAGGTCAGGTCACTGATTCTGCAAAACTTCTCCTCAGGCAGATCGTTCTAAAACTGAGGGGCCCTGATGGTAACTAACTACCTCTGAGTAAAATAACATTAGCTTACAGTTAACTTTTTAATACAGTTTAATTCACTTTTATTTGTATAGCGCCAATTCATTCAAATAGAGCAGGTCTAGACTGTACTCCTTATAAAAATATTTACAGAGACCCAACAGTGCCACCATGAGAAAGCATTTGGCGACAGCAGCAAGGAAAAACTTCCTTTTAAGAGGCAGTTGGTTTTCAAACTTGATGATGATGGTGTACAGGGCGTATGGGGGGGGGCTCAAAGACGGATGCCAAGAGTGGGCTGGTGGTGGGATGGTAGTGGTGCCTGTCTGCATTACTGTGCTTTAAACCTGTATCAAGAACAGGCTAGGGTGAAGCTGATCATGTCATGTTGGTGCCAGGGATGATGGTGTCGAGGAGGCTTTACAGGTGGAATTTGATTTTTTGGTGCTTCTAGCATCTTCTTCATCATCTTCTTCCTCATCTCTTTGCCTCTTCCTAGTTGCCACAGGAAGTGGGTCCCCCTCTTCTTCTGCGACTTCATCTTCCTCATCACTGTCTTTAGAGTAGCTGTCCGAGTCGCTGTCGGCAAATTCATCCCACCACCAAAATCTTTTACATTTACCCTCCTCATCCTCCTCATCCTCCTCCTCCCGAGGACGCCGCCTCGATCCACCAGGCATTGGTTCTTGTTGTGCAGTGTGCTGGTCGATTGCCACATCAGCCTGAGCATCTGGGTGAACATCTGCAACATTGTGATTGTTGTTGTTGTGGTTGTCATTACGGTCAAGTTCACCCAGCCCATCTCCAGCAGCGATTGGACACCTTACAGCGGCGTTCACATCCACTGGTCCAGGGACTCCGAACACTGGTTGTCGGAAGAATATGAAGATGAGATGTGCCACGATGTGTGAATCACCTTGTCCGTTCATCTTGAAGTTCACACGGCAAGCAAATAGTTGTGTGTCGGTACAAGGGATCTGGTCTGTAAATCTCCACAGCAGTTAATAACTTGCAATAGTTGGAGGAAAATTTGTGGGAAATGTCACTGAAGATTGTTTAATCTGGTTATGATCTCAGTAAGAGTAAGAGTAATTTATAAGGAAAACTCTCACTGTTGTGTCATTCTATTGTGAAGTCATCAGAACTTAAGGAATTCCAGAATGGGTTCCATCGCCTTTGATACACAACAAATAGAATGGAACCAAAAAGAATAAGAATTTGTTTTGGTTTTATTTAATTATTTAAACAAACAAAACAAAAAAACGGTTTAATAAAAAGCATATTATGTCTAGTTTTGGTCTCAATTAAAACAAATTCTGGCTTATTAAATCTTATAAGTGTACCCTAAAATTAAGTGCGAGTCACCCATTTTTCCAAACCCTTACTGTCCAATAAAAACCATGTTTCTGCAAATTTGCTGATTTTTAATGGGAATTTTTCTGACAAACTGAAGGATTCTGTGTTCCTTTATGGGTTGATAATATTCTCCTGCTTCTTAAGCTAAATAAACTATTGAAAAGTTGAAGTTCTTTACAGACACATGGTTCTCACAGGACAGCGACAGCTACAAACATATGATGATTCTATTGTATAAGATGCATTGCTGTAAATTAAACTACTTATCAGAATATAAAGTAGTTAGAATGAGCTCAGTATAATTTATCGATATATATAATAGTATAACACTGACTGGGACCATTATTTGCACAATAAGCACTTTTATTTTTTGATTCTTACATGTTACTAATAATACTTACATACTTTTATTTACGTATGGTTTTTAATGCAGGACTTTTACTTGTAGTGCAGTATTTGCACATTGTGGAATTAGCATTTTTATTTAAGTAAAGGATCTGAATAGTTCTTCAAACATTGCTTTTAAAGCCTATAATCAGAAGTTAAATTCAATTAAATGTGGGTGGCTGGTTAAGTGCATTCAGATTGTCCTTCTTACCCTTAAAGCATGAATGGTGTTAACCTTTTGCATTGATATCTCTTTTAAGAATATTACATAAAATTAGGACACCTGAATAAATAAAGAAGAAACACATTCAAAAGTGATCAAAGGGTTTACTCTTTGTGTGTAAAGCTGAGCATTGAGACTCTTGCAACTTTATCTGTTGCATTGTTTCAGACAGGTGAATGGCACTGAGGTCATTCACCTTTCAGCAGCTACTGTAGCTGGCCAATCTTGTAACCTGCTCGTATTGTTCCTGTGCCAGACAAAGATCAGCAAGTTCTTAACGCCTGCCAGAGCATGTCAACAGTGTGAAGGGCGCAGTCTCGTGTCACAACTATTTCTGTGAACTACATATCTGTACATCACCAGCACTTTCTTATGACTGCTGATTTGAGGGCTATATACTTGCGACATTTACAAGAGACAAGGTTAATTTTAATGAGCTGAGACGTCATAATCTCTTAATTGAGAACTGAGAAAGTACTGTTCCACGTGTATATTCCTCCTTTAACATTTCTTCTACAATATGCTAGTGTGGAACATCCACTGCTGAATATTATTTGCAATATGAAATATCACAGTGACATAGTTTTACACTTCAGCCATGTTAGCGGCTTTTTGAGAAGGCAGAGAAAAAGACACACATTAAAAATATACATTATTGATCTAAATGAGTAGTACGTAATGTTAAATATCAGATTGATGCATATTATGCATACAGTACTCAATACTCAGACGCATATTCACATGAAAATGGGAGAGCGGCCCTCCCTAAGTGCACGTTAGCTAACACTAGCATTAGCACTAAAGACAGACTACAGGTGAGATGGGAATGTCATAAACCTGAGTATTGGATAGATTGATTTTGACCTGATGATTGCACTAGACACTGTTTCTTGTACCCACCTTTCAAGTAATTTCCCCACGGGGATTATTAAAGTATTTCTGATTCTGATTCTGATTCTGATTAGATGACTGTCTGTACCAAATTGTGTGGCAATGCATCCAATAGTTGTTAAGAAATTTCACTAAAAGCCAGAAATATCAAGCTGCTGGAGAAAATGTCAGTAAGACTCATCCTCTAGGGACCATGAATGTCTGGTCAAAATGTCATGAAAATGCATCCAAAAGTTGTTATATTTATAGAACAGAAAAACAACTTTATTTATAATTTACAGTAGAATGTATAGTGAAACTCCTCTGCATTTAACCCATCCTACTGGGAGCAGTGGGCAACTCCAGAACTGGGGCAGTGGCTTTTGGTCATGGGCACTGACTGGAGAATTAACCTAACATACATGTTTTGATGGTTGGGGAAACTGAAAAACCTGGAGAAAACCCGACACAGGGAGCGCATGCAAACAAAGAACAAAAAACAAACAAAGCACAGAGAGGACAAGCTGAGAATTTAACCCAGGACCTTGTTGCTGTGAGGCGACAGTGCTAACCACTGAGTCACTGTGCTGCCCTGTACACATATGGGTATATATTTCAGGCTTGATTAAAGTGGTGTACCAACAGACCAACATCGTCATTCCTACAGCCACACTAATAGGGTTTGAAAAACCAAGACGGCACTAGAAATTTCAACATATTGTACAGATTTGCAGCAGATATGACACAGACCAAAAGACAGAACAGACCAAAAAGCACATATAACCCAAGTTTGACGACTGCTTTTCATTATTGTGAGGCACCCGCAGAAATCCAGTTTAAGCCGATTATGATAAATATATATGAACTGTGGCTGTAATGTTTGTTTCACTGTAAAGTTAAGTCCACTAATTTGCTACAAATCACAGCACACAAGGGTTTAAGATGAAGAATTCCACTTTATAGTGTCTTCACATTTATTGTTACAGAACAATGGAGATCAACCTGCTTGAATCATTTTGTCCCATTAAAACAGTTTGTTACAGGCCGACCCTTTATCTGCTTGGTTCAGTCAGTGAAGTTGGTTATTAAACTACTGTGAGGTTCTGTAAGTACATTCACATGTGCCACCATTCAGTCAGTAATATCTACACATCATTATTTTTATTATTATCTACTGATCACACAGCAAACCCCACACTGTGCTGTGTGTCTAAAATGGATGCAGTATAATGAAACAGCTGCCAGGAGCACAGAGAGGAGTATTTATGATGACACTAGCCTACTCTTCATTGGTATATGAAGCCCTTCTTATCTATTCTGGTTCAGGCTCAAGGTCACAGTACATCACATGTCCCTGATCTCTCTGGCAATATATTTTTAATCGTTTTATTGTGGTTTCATTTTGTGCTCTTACATTCCAACTTTCACATAAATCTCATCAAACTAGAAAAAGAAATCAAACAATACAGATTTGATTCCTTGGCATTAACACTCAAGATTAATTTTAAAACAAACACATACGGTAGCAAAGGATTGAGCAGGAAAGTGAAAACAGTTCATGGACTCAATGAAGAGGACAAATATGACGTCTATAAAAATAACTAAATAAATAAAACAAATAAGCCATAACGATAAAATCAACATACTGAAAAACAATGCAATTAATTTATAAAAGCTTGAAAGCAAATAAATTACAAATGTTTATAGTGCAATGATAACTGGCAATCTCATTGATACTAACGGCATTATATGAGAAACTGGTTATGTGTTCTAAATAATTATTTAAAATGAGATTAAACCATTTTAAACTGTAGTTAAACTGGATTTGGTCCTTACATTTTAAGCTTATATCAACGGTATGTTTGACCATAGTATAAAATCTGAAATGTAAAAAATAAATATATTAAAAGTGTAAACAGAAAGACCTTTCAATATTTTCATCATGTAAACTAAATTAGACCAAGTAATTGCACTGTGCTTGGAGATATTGTGCACACTGTTGACAGTGTTGAAATGTCTCACCATTTTAGTGATCACTTAAGTGATTCCCACTGCTCTACGTCAAACATGACCAGGCTTAGTTATTAATGCTTGATTAATACTGATAAAGGATGATTCTCTATTTGAAATGTATAATGTGAGTAACCAGTGTAGATAAACACAGACCATGCAGACATACATTGGCTCATTGTGGGGCGGAAAGCAGTCCCAGAGTTTTTACAGATGCAATAACATTTGAACGTCTTTGGCTCGAAACAAAGACAAAAGCTGTGAATCTCCTGTGCTTCAGACTGGTGCAATCTACGAGGTCGCTGTACAGTCTAATGACATGATAACAGTATTGTTGGGGTGCTGGTTTAAAAGCACGCTAGATGAAGGATGAGGGTGGAGGACGGCTCCTGTAGAGGTGCTGATGCTCCTGGTTTAAGGCATCATAGTTGACGAGCCCTTTGCTCATGTGCCTGTGATCTGCAGAAACGGCCATCAACGTATAAATAAACACAGGAAGAGGACAAACCAGAAGAAATTCTACAGTATTCAAAGTCATGTCCACATACCTGCTACGGCTCGCTCTCCATTGTCACAGAGACCGTCTGGCCTCCGTCTGAAAGGCGACAGTGAGGACACAAGAGATGTTACATAGCAAAAAAAAAACACTTTACATACAAGCAGAAAATGAAAACGTGACAACATACCAATTTTCCCTTTGCTGTCGTCCACTGTGTGTTGTATGTTGTTACCAAGCACACAAGGGTTGGTCTCCCCATCAGCAGGGCTGTGATTAAAGTCACATTAAAGAAAAGGCCTAGTAAGCAAACCTGAAAGGAAACCGGTTCAATATTTGAAAAAAAAAAAAAAACACTACTCACACTTTGCCATTTTGCTGGAGGACACTGTTTGCTTGTTCAGGATCTATGTGCACCAATCTGGTAACATAGGAATGTCCATCTCCCAGACTGATGAACAGAGATAAAGTCAGCATTAGATGGATTCAGGGTTAATTGTATTTCAGTATTTTCTCTTTGTTTCTCTACTCCATAAAAACAGCTTTAGTAATAGATAAGGAGTTTGAAGTCTGCTAGTGTAGTGCTGATCAGTACAGTGCAGATATAACAGTAGTGCTGCCCATTTATTTGCATAATTGACTAATAGCTGCTGTTATATCAGGTCAGAGTAGACTAACCTTGAGAAAACAGGAAATATCCAGTACTTTGCTTGGTCTCCAAACACCTCAGCTACATTTCGGCTAAAGCCTAGAGAAAACCCGCTCTTGTCTGGACCGTTTGTGAAGACAGGAGCCCTGAAGGCCTCTGAGAATTGATATAAAAATATAGTTAGTCATGGCAACATTTAAAGCATATAATCAAAAGGTACATTTAAATAACATTTATTTAAAAAAGATTTACCTATAGTGGTCCTGTTCTTTCCCACAAGCCACAGATGGTAACTGAGAAGTGACACGATGCTGATAAAGAACAGGGCCGCCACAAAAAATAGAAACAAGATGTGGAATTTGGCATGCGTGTCAGGCAGTTGTTTCTTCAGACAGAAAAAAAAAAAAGAAAAGTGTTAGTCTTGTCAGTCTGCAAGAATATTTCTTGTCCTCATGTCAAGTCATCTTTACCCAACAACTGACTGGAGCGGACAATTCACCTCTGCAGAGGACAGGTCAGGTCACAGGAAAACACCATCCATTACTGTCTTTGTATTTCTTACTATAGTACAATATACTCGTTCACTGTTGGACTACATGACAGGAGCCATTGTCTCGTGCAAAGCAGCATGCTGAAGAAGATCTGATAAGCGATCACATGACACTTGTGCACCACAGTGACACATTTGTAAACCAATTGGTCGATATCTTACGATGCAGATTAAGGTGATCACATGCCTCATCACAGCCTGACAGCTCTTCATTTTTCAATTTAATTCGAGAAGATGAAAGTTATCCTAAGTTTAAAGCAAAGCATGTTAATGGTTTTCAAAACCAAGGCTGCCGAATGCTGATCTTATGAGTAAAAGATCCTGCGGCCTTTCATAAACTGTCACCACAGCAAGCATTCACATGCAAGAGCACGCAGATATTTTTTTTTTTTTATAAAAGGAAAAAGAAAAAAAGGAGGAAGTGTCTGTACTTACGGTCCAGAATTTGATGAAATACTGGATGACTGTGGCACAAATGACCGCACAGTAGAGTGAGGCGTAGGCCAAGAACAAGACAAAGTACTTGTAGTTTGAGAATCCAACACAGTTATTCACCCTGAAAGAAAACATGACACAGACAGCGAAATGTGTTTAATTCTCTACATTTTCTTTACAAGAAAACGGATAAGAACTTGTATCATGATGAACTAGAAAGCAGCTTAAATGCACAGTTAAATGAGAAAAGCCTACCAGGGGCAGTGGTGGTCCATTTTCAGCACACACCTTGAAGAATATGGAAAAATCCTATTAGTACCACTTTAACATTTGGACATTTTGCTGATCTAGTGTCCCAGAGCCGATGAAGGTGTCAGCATAAGAAAATACATATTGCTCATAGTTTGGGATGCGATTTAAAAAACATCATTTGCAACCAAAAACAAACATTTTGTCTTATTTTGTCTTATTTCTCAACAGCAACATTTTCTCGTTTACTTTCTGTTTGCAGAAGTTGCAGGTAATGTTTTTCTTAAACTTTACAGTGTGTACACTCACATCTCGCAGGTTGAGCAGTGATGGCAGCGGTCAGGTTTGATTATCTGGCAGTGGTCGCAGTATCGGACGGCTATTCAGAGAAAGCAGAATTAGAAGTATTACTGTGTAACTTCTGCCCCTCCCCCCATACAGACTGCTCTTTATGAAAGCCTGCATCATCACGGTCCACGCTGAGGTAGCCGATATTTCAACAAAAACAAATTATTTGAGGTGGTCTGCATTTTTAACACTTTGAAAATAACAAATAAATGAATAAATAGTGAACTGAACAGCTACGTCTGCGTCTCTCCCAACGTCCCTGTGAAAGCCAGCGTGTCCCGTCAGGACTGTTGACGAGGAGCAGAGCCAGGTGCAGCCTGTAGAGATAATGAGGTGCACCTGAGGCCAATTAACCCTCCGGATGCACGCAGCTCAGTAAACAAAAGGCAGATGAGCTTATCGTCTCATATCATACAGTACGCTCTTTTTTTTTTTCCAAAGATGTGTGAACAGTGTTTTACTTTTATCCAAAAAGCGAAGAGGCAATGTAGCAACACATTTACGCAATTTCTTTTATGTTGCTTGTTTGATGTGCTGAATCCTTTGAACGATGAGGAAAGTGGCACTGTGTGTGCAACAGTCCCCCGGTGTATTACCGTGCGTTAAAATAGTAAGCCCACCACGGTTAATTTTTCCGCTGTGGTAAAAGCCTCACCTCCTCCTGCCGTGCGTGTATACACGGGTAAATTCCTCGCCACTTTCTTCAGAATCTCTTGCTGTGCTTCAGCTCGCTCCTCTCGCTCAAACAGGTCCTTCTCTACTCGGGGCAGACAAAACTGACAGGAGGAGAAAAGACTGGTCAATAAAAGCCCCACAATATTAAGACATGTTGTAAACTTGTATCGGACAGACATGCAAGGGTCTTTTTGTGACATTATTTTTCTAAACATGAAAACAGGAAGTGTTTATTTGACAGACACACACTCTTGGCTTACCGCTTTTGAGGGGCTGGCTGGTCTGGACCCAATAGTTTTCCAGTAGGACCATATAAACATGGCGAGGAAAATGTGAAAGATGACCAAATAGCTGACTGTTGAGAGAAAGAGTTTGGTTTGCAGTTACACTGGCATCTCTGGATGTGACTGGAGAAAATGTGTGTGTGGATAACACTTACTTCGTTCTGCATTATTTGGGATTGTATCTACATTAGGCAAAGAAGAAAATATATTAGTGGGCAGTAATTAAAGTCCTAAGAATGCATGAATACACATCCCCCACCCCACACACACACACACACACACACACACAACCCCTTTCTCGCACCATGTGGCAGCAGCCTGGCACGGCCAGCAGTGACCCACCCATAAGAGAGAGCTTTGTTTAAGCAGCAGGGATGTCCCTGTCCTGTCCACAGCCGCTGAGTTACAGACATAACTACAGTACGACTACATGCTGAGGGTGGTATCATCAGCTCCGGGCTCAAACAAACTACTAAAGTGTGGAGCTGAGTGTGGAGAGTGCATGCCATGTTACACATAACTGATCAATATTAAATTAAAGATACATGAAGATCATCAACACTCATGTAAGCTGAACTGCTTCCAGACCTGCTTGTTCTAGTTCGGATGATCACGATTGATTATGAGATAAAAGTAGGAAGTCATATCCTCGGCTGAATCATGTTGTAACTTCTTTGTCTGAATAAATCATTTTTTTATGGAGTTTAAAATGTTGCTATTTGGTCCTAATTACTTAGGAAGAGCACATGTTTGTGTTGTGTCAAATGAATTCAATTGCAGCTTAATGACCACAGCAAACGTGTGTTTTTATTACCAATGTTTAGGTGTTGTCTGCACATTGGTAGTTTTAATGTGTCCTCTGCAGCTCTCATTACATCTTCAGTGAATAGCGTCAAGCATCAGAGAGCCATCTCCCACTGTATCATTGGGATTTAACTGCTGCCCCTCCCAAGGACTGTCCACTGTCACTCAAACAATTTAAGAAAATAATATACAATCATTGCCATTTGTAAAATGTCAACGTGTGGTGAATAGATACACTAAAAAGCATTTAATATGTCAGAATTAAGGCTATAATGGGGTCTTATTATAGGTTGATTATGGGGCCGACATTAGTAAACAGGCCATAAATATTCATCATTTAACTAAATGTTTAATACAGTGAAAACAATGGGTATAATTAAAAGGGGATTTTAAATTATAAAGTTAATGTCCATTCATTTAAAACACACTGCAGGTTTAGAAAAAAAACCCTCAGAGAAAGTTTTACGAAGTGTTATCTTTTAGTTTTTTTTCCCCAGTTAACTGCCTATAATATCTAATGCAATATCTGATGTTACCTGCTGCAACAACAGTCATTATAAAGTCATTCATTATTAATTATTGATTGCACAATCCACCCAGACACTCTCTTTCCTCTCCCAAACTAACTTTAATGAACTAAACTACGCCTATTCACGTTATAACATTGCTGCCATGCAGGACTGCCTGTGTGTCAGGGGTTGAAGGAGCAGCTGTATGTTTAAACGCGTGTATCTGCAGCCGAGGGGACGATTTTAAATCTCACTTCAACTAGCCTGAGTCAAAGTTGGCAACCCCCCC